AACGTCATAATTGAGCGAATGACACTTAATGACAGTTGTCATAAACCTCATTCATATTCATGTGTCATGTCATGGTTATGAAGGTGCCATGTAAGTATTATGCACACCCCTTCAAGTAAAGTGTCACTGAAAAGTCTACTAGTTCAACAAGGGTGTTCATGAGCGCCTGTGCAAATTAAACCACCGACCTCGAAAATGCAGCGAATAAAAACAACAGCTAAAGGTCATTTCAATCAAATGGCCGAGCGTTAAAACTGCATTTTCATGGTGCAACACGTATAAAACACAGAAAGTTGTTGCTTTCTGCAGTAACAAATGCGGTGCCTTTAGAAAATGAAATCCAGCATTTTTGTGCCAATTTATGAGGAGATTAATGTGTAAACAGACGAATAAAGCCTAAAGTGATTATTATAACTAAATAATCATCTATATCAGGGGTTCCCAAACTTTTTGTCAGCCGTAGTGTTATTTTACCATCATTAATATGGTTTTTATTAATATTTTGAATTTTTTATTTTAAAATTTTAAGTGTTTTTGTTGTTTTAAATGTCTATTTAGTTTTTTTTGTTGTAATTTTAGTACTTAAACTAAATGAAAATTAGAAATGATGCCTTTGTAATAAAATGATTTTATTTTGCAAAATTGTATTTATTTAACTAACTAAAAAAATAAAATTAAAAAAATTAAAATGATAATCATTTTAACTTTTTGTTGTTGTTGTTTTTAAGGATGCCAACACTGATCATTTAAATAATTATTTTAAATTATTTTAATTTGAATTAACACGTTTTTATTATTTATTTACTCAAAGTGCAGTTTTGGGAAGACCTGATCAGAAACATAATGTGAAGAGAATTGTTCATCTTCAAGGGTTATTATAGTTAACTAAAACGGTTACTTGAAATAAAATAAACATTAAATGAATCAATAAAAAAAGCTTAAACTTGCTTTATTTCAGCTATAGTTGCCGAGGAAGTATTTCTCATTTTCTTTTAGTTTAAAAACTGAAATAAAGAGTAAAAACTGAATACATATTTAAAATAAAAAAATCACTACAAAAAAAAAAACAAAAAACTGCGTGTCGGTCAAAAATGACAGAAATTATTATTTTTTATTTCAATCAAATTAATGTACTATTTTAGTTTGATAATGTCTTTTATTTAATATTTTGTATTTTCAGGAAATTTTATGGTACTAAATTATAATTACGCTGTATTTATAATCCATTCATTCACTTTTTAAGCATAAACCTGAAAATTAAATTTCCAGCTTACACTGTCGTGAATCTCTTTTTAAAGACGACACTCGGCAGATTATTGCTGAAGAAGTGAAAAAAGCTTAAAAAAATTAACTTTTAAAAAAAAGTTACAGATTTTTACGTTTATTGTTACTATTTTACATTTTTATATGAAATATATTTTTTCCAAATACATGTTTTACTCTAAAACTGGGAGAAAATCAAAGCCATAAATCTAAACAAGTTCAAAATGTGCATCTGATTTGTCAGTAAATGAGCGTTCAGTGAGATGCTGCAGTACCGAACGCTTCCACTAGAGGAAACTCGACTCACACTCGTTTACAGTGCGCTCGTTTTTAAACCACAGTGAGACTATATTTTTTCAGGACCATTTAACCTGTTCGAATCAAGTCGTGATTATTTTTTAGCTTCATTCGACACAGACATTTATTTTTTATTTTTTTTATTCTTTATTGAACATGTTAAAAGACAACAACAAAACTAAACAAGAACAAACAATCAACAAAAAAAGCAGATGATCCAAATAACAGTCATGTTCAAAGAGGAAGAAGTTAGAATAACTTTTCTTTTCCTACACCCACTTCAGTTATATATTTGAGCTACTTAAACGAACAGTATGTAATTTTTGGCCACCAGGGGTCGCTAATCTCTTACAATAACAAAGGCGTATATCGATGACACAAAGCATCAAATAGTTGGAAACATTTGGGATATTGTAAGTAATCAACTAAACAAAATATATAACATTGGCCTAGTGGTTTTTGGATATTATACTGCAAAAATCCTACATATTGTACCTTTAAATTGTTTGCATCATTTAGGTATTCAAACTAAATAAAAATCAACAATAAAAAGAAAGAAAATCACTTTTTCCAGCTCCTATCCATCTAGGATTCTTTTTTTAAGTAGAAATTTCAGTTGCAATAAGTTTTTACATAGCTTTATATCATTATTACTGTTATTCCACACCTTAACGGTTTATTGATATTCCTCTGAAAATACGTGTTTTCTTGCAGTAGAAAAAGCTCTTGGATATTTCTAGGCAATGGGTTATTATGTGCTCTATTGATTTGTAATCAATCAAATCTTTGAACTTTGATATTTTGAGTTTGTTGGTTCTCTATATGTAGTTTTATGTATGATTCGAATAGCTCTTTTTACAGTTGACCACAGAATGCCACTATCGACCAATCAGAATCAAGTATTGTATTGTCATACGTGACCTTTGCCCTCTGTCTGCAGTTATGCAGCTCTGATGTGTTCAGAAGTGACCGAGAGCTGAAAGGAGATGATCTGGTGATCCACCGGATGAATGTGGTGTACGCCGGCCTCTACACGTGTGTGGTTTCATATCAGATGAATGGACGCACACTTCAGTTCACGCGCCGCATCAACGTCACGGCTGTTGGTAAGAGCTTCTCATCTCGTCTCGAGCTCGTCTCGTCATTCTGAATCCAGCGAGCCATCAGATCAGCAACAATAAACGTAAAAATCTGTAACTTTTTTTTTTTTAAGTTCATTTTTTAAAACTTTTTTCACTTCAGCAATAATCTGCCGAGTGTTGTAAACAGTGTTAATTTTGTCAGCAAATTTTGATTTAGTTTTAGTCTTAGTCTTTTGACTAAAATGCCATTTAGTTTTAGTCATATTTTAGTCATCTGAATTGTTTTAGTTTTAGTCTAGTTTTAGTCGACGAAATACAATAACATTTTAGTCGACTAAATCTACAGTAGATTTAGTCGACTAAAATATAATGGGTTTAGTTCAATTGTAAGGCGTTAATTTAGAATTTCTCTAAAATTTCCAAACCCATATACTCCCGGAGAAAACATCTATTAACCTATTAATATGAATGATTTTTAAGTTTGAACATGCAATACAGATACAGATTTAACTGCTGTTACTTAAAAAATATCTTAAAATGAAATAAAACCACTTTTCCTAAAGTACAACACAGTCTTCTTTACAATGAATGATATATTCATTCCTTATAACTACTTACACATCATTCTTTATTCTTTCAAGCAGACATATTTATTTGTATGAATTAAATATAATTAATCCTTATTAAAGCTATTAACAAACAGTGAATGCTTTTCTCTTTTTCTTTTGTTGCTTGATCAAAATTAAGGACACGGACCGCATTAGGTTTATTGCCACTGTCACTTTAAGACGTCGGATCATGCACATCCGACACACTCACAGTTTAAGACATAACCAGCATAGTTTACATGAATACTCTCCAAAAAGGACATTTAGACATACTGTTGTGTATTTGTCCATTCAGACACGAAAGAGAGCTCAATTCAGTAGCCTACTCGCGCGCTGTAGGTGTATTGTGCATGACTGCACGCTTCAGGTTAGGTGTGTGCGCACAGAAAACCGCACCGAATAGAGCTCTTTTTTGCATCGTCACTCTTATTCAGAGATCTATATGTCTGCCCTACTCATTCTCCCAGACGTTCACATTTTTTAACGTTTTATGACCGCGGGGTAGATCACGTTACAGTAGACTACAAATGTGCGCATCTACCACACACGCAGGACATCAGTTCTGACGGATCGCTTCCCAAATCGTCACTATCTAACATTTTCGTCTAGTTTTTATTCGTTGACGAAAATGTCAATAGATTTTCGTCATAGTCTTTGTCATTCAAAACTAGGTTTTATTTAGTTATCGTCTCGTTTTCGTCTGTGAAAAAATGTCGTTGACGAATAATTTTCGTCGTTATTTTCGTCAACGAAATTAACACTGGTTGTAAACATGTTCAATAAAGAATAAATAAATAAATGTCTGTGTCGAATGAAGCTAAAAAATAATCATGACTTGATTCGAACAGGTTAAATGGTCCTGAAAAAATATAGTCTCACTGTGGTTTAAAAACGAGCGCATTGTAAACGAGTGTGAGTCGAGTTTCCTCTAGTGGAAGCGTTCGGTACTGCAGCATCTCACTGAACGCTCATTTACTGACATATCAGACGCACATTTTTAACTTGTTTAGATTTATGGCTTTGATTTTCTCACAGTTTTAGAGTAAAAAGTGTTTTTGGAAAAAATTGATTTCATATAAAAATGTAAAATAGTAACAATAAACGTAAAAATCTGTAAAAAAAATTTAAAGTTAATTTTTTAAAGCTTTTTTCACTTCTTCAGCAATAATCTGCCGAGTGTCGTCTTTAAAAAGAGATTCACGACAGTGTAAGCTGGAAATGTAGTTTTCAGGTTTATGCTTAAAAAGTGAATGAATGGATTATAAATACAGCGTAAATATAATTTAGTACCATAAAAATTCCTGAAAATACAAAATATTAAATAAAAGACATTATCAAACTAAAATATAGTACATTAATTTCATTGAAATAAAAAAAATTATTTCTGTCATTTTTGACCGACACGCGAAGAGCACAAAAGTTTTGATTTTAATTTTAACGTTTTTATTTTTAACATTTTAAATATGTATTCAGTTTTTACTCTTTATTTCAGTTTTAGCTATTTTAGTACATTTAGTTAAACTAAAGGGAAATGAGAAATACTTCCTCGGCAACTATAGCTGAAATAAAGCAAGTTTAAGCTTTTTTTATTGATTCATTTAATGTTTATTTTATTTCAAGTAACTGTTTTAGTTAACTATAATAACCCTTGAAGATGAATAATTCTCTTCAGTTCATAATTTTTGTGGTGCAAAACATATAAAACACAAAGTTTTTATGTGTAGAAGGAGATCAGTGTGTTAGTCATTATCAGTTTCGTTAATATACTCTTATCGTAATTATTAATATATTGAATTAGTGTTCATTTTATATTTTCCTTTTTCATTTAAAAAAAAAGTTTTAGTAATTTTGTTGTGTTCTTTTGTCTTTTTATTTTTTTATAAATAATCGTCAGTTTAATTTTTATCGTTTTAAATTTCAGTTTTAGTAATTTTAGTAGTTCGACTTAAACTAAACTACCTTAAATTAAAAATGTTGCCTTTGTTGAACTAGCTAAAATAAAATACACTCCCCGTTCAAAAGTTTGGGGTCAGTATTATGTGTGTTTAAAAAAAAAATCTGTTTAAGAAATTAATACTTTTATTAATCAAGGATGCATTAAATTGATCAAAAGTGACAGTAAAGACATTTCTAATATTCTATTTTAAATAAATGCTGTTTTTTGGAACTTTATATTCATCGAAGAATCCTGAAAAATTAAATGTTTTGAACATTTATGACAGAAATATGAACTGTTTTCAACACTGATAATAATCATAAATGTTTATTGAGCATCAAATCATCATATTAGAGTGATTTCTGAAGGATCATGTGACACTGAAGACTGGAGTAATGATGCTGAAAATACAGCTTTCATCACAGAAATAAATTATAGTTTAACATATTAATTCACAAAAAAAGTTATTCTACACTGTAATAATATTTCACTGTTTTTACTGTATTTTTGATAAAAATGTACTGATTTTTGATCGTCTTTAAAAAACATGTCAAATTCCTACCGACCCCATACGGTGTAAGTTTAATTTTTTTTTTTTTTTATGTACTTTCTCTCTTGTAGTTCCCGACATCGGCAGAAAAGAGCCCACCGTTCTGAATCCGGCGAGCGGTCAGACCTACACAGTGACTCTAGGTGAGCGTCTTCTTCTTTCTCTACTCTTGCTGTGTTTTCTGGGATATGCATCAGTGATATTAGTTATTTAAAGTGATATAAATGTTGTCGTTTCAGGAGATCAAGCGACGCTGTCCTGTCGGGTGAATCTGCCTCACCTGTACACAGAGAAGCAGGAGATCTGGTGGACCGTCGATAACAAAACTGTGGAGCAACTCGCCGACCCGCGGTTCAGCTCACCTGAGGCCACGTATGGACCACAGCTATCATAGTATACTAAAACTAAAACCATAAAAACACTTTTGTTACTTTAACTGAAACAAACTTTCTGAGAAACGCTGTTGGAAGTGGATCGGACCGAGCAGCGTAATGCACTGAGTGAGCCAATCAGCAGTAGGGGGCGTGTCTACTCATGATGCGGGAGGAGAGAGTGAGCCAATCAGCAGTAGGGGGCGTGTCCACTCATTATGCGGGAGGAGAGAGAGAGATAATCAGCAGTAGGGGCCGTGTCCACTCATTATGGGGGAGGAGAGAGATAATCAGCAGTAGGGGGCGTGTCCACTCATTCAGCAGTAGGGGGCGTGTCCACTCATTATGGGGGAGGAGAGAGAGAGATAATCAGCAGTAGAGGGCGTGTCCACTCATTCAGCAGTAGGGGGCGTGTCCACTCATTATGGGGGAGGAGAGAGAGAGATAATCAGCAGTAGGGGCCGTGTCTACTCATGATGCGGGAGGAGAGAGTGAGCCAATCAGCAGTAGGGGGTGTGTCCACTCATTATGCGGGAGGAGAGAGAGAGATAATCAGCAGTAGGGGGCGTGTCCACTCATTATGGGGGAGGAGAGAGATAATCAGCAGTAGGGGGCGTGTCCACTCATTCAGCAGTAGGGGGCGTGTCCACTCATTATGGGGGAGGAGAGAGAGAGATAATCAGCAGTAGAGGGCGTGTCCACTCATTCAGCAGTAGGGGGCGTGTCCACTCATTATGGGGGAGGAGAGAGAGATAATCAGCAGTAGGGGCCGTGTCTACTCATGATGCGGGAGGAGAGAGTGAGCCAATCAGCAGTAGGGGGTGTGTCCACTCATTATGCGGGAGGAGAGAGAGAGATAATCAGCAGTAGGGGGCGTGTCCACTCATTATGGGGGAGGAGAGAGATAATCAGCAATAGGGGGCGTGTCCACTCATTCAGCAGTAGGGGCGTGTCCACTCATTATGGGGGAGGAGAGAGAGAGATAATCAGCAGTAGGGGGCGTGTCCACTCATTCAGCAGTAGGGGGCGTGTCCACTCATTATGGGGGAGGAGAGAGAGATAATCAGCAATAGGGGGCGTGTCCACTCATTCAGCAGTAGGGGCGTGTCCACTCATTATGGGGGAGGAGAGAGAGATAATCAGCAGTAGGGGGCGTGTCCACTCATTATGGGGGAGGAGAGAGAGAGATAATCAGCAGTAGGGGGCGTGTCCACTCATTCAGCAGTAGGGGGCGTGTCCACTCATTATGGGGGAGGAGAGAGAGATAATCAGCAGTAGGGGGCGTGTCCACTCATTCAGCAGTAGGGGGCGTGTCCACTCATTATGGGGGAGGAGAGAGAGATAATCAGCAGTAGGGGGCGTGTCCACTCATTATGGGGGAGGAGAGAGATAATCAGCAATAGGGGGCGTGTCCACTCATTCAGCAGTAGGGGGCGTGTCCACTCATTATGGGGGAGGAGAGAGAGATAATCAGCAGTAGGGGGCGTGTCCACTCATTATGGGGGAGGAGAGAGAGAGATAATCAGCAGTAGGGGGCGTGTCCACTCATTCAGCAGTAGGGGGCGTGTCCACTCATTATGGGGGAGGAGAGAGAGATAATCAGCAATAGGGGGCGTGTCCACTCATTCAGCAGTAGGGGCGTGTCCACTCATTATGGGGGAGGAGAGAGAGATAATCAGCAGTAGGGGGCGTGTCCACTCATTATGGGGGAGGAGAGAGAGAGATAATCAGCAGTAGGGGGCGTGTCCACTCATTCAGCAGTAGGGGGCGTGTCCACTCATGGGGGAGGAGAGAGATAATCAGCAGTAGGGGGTTGTGTCCACTCATTCAGCAGTAGGGGGCGTGTCCACTCATTATGGGGGAGGAGAGAGATAATCAGCAGTAGGGGGCGTGTCCACTCATTATGGGGGAGGAGAGAGAGATAATCAGCAGTAGGGGGTGTGTCCACTCATTCAGCAGTAGGGGGCGTGTCCACTCATGGGGGAGGAGAGAGATAATCAGCAGTAGGGGGCGTGTCCACTCATGGGGGAGGAGAGAGATAATCAGCAGTAGGGGGCGTGTCCACTCATGGGGGAGGAGAGAGATAATCAGCAGTAGGGGGCGTGTCCACTCATTATGGGGAGGAGAGAGATAATCAGCAGTAGGGGGCGTGTCCACTCATGGGGGAGGAGAGAGATAATCAGCAGTAGGGGGTGTGTCCACTCATGGGGGAGGAGAGAGATAATCAGCAGTAGGGGGTGTGTCCACTCATGGGGGAGGAGAGAGATAATCAGCAGTAGGGGGTGTGTCCACTCATTCAGCAGTAGGGGGCGTGTCCACTCATTATGGGGGAGGAGATAATCAGCAGTAGGGGGCGTGTCCACTCATGGGGGAGGAGAGAGATAATCAGCAGTAGGGGCGTGTCCACTCATTATGGGGGAGGAGAGAGATAATCAGCAGTAGGGGGCGTGTCCACTCATTCAGCAGTAGGGGGTGTGTCCACTCATGGGGGAGGAGAGAGATAATCAGCAGTAGGGGGCGTGTCCACTCATTCAGCAGTAGGGGGTGTGTCCACTCATGGGGGAGGAGAGAGATAATCAGCAGTAGGGGGCGTGTCCACTCATTATGGGGGAGGAGAGAGATAATCAGCAGTAGGGGGCGTGTCCACTCATTCAGCAGTAGGGGGTGTGTCCACTCATGGGGGAGGAGAGAGAGAGATAATCAGCAGTAGGGGGCGTGTCCACTCATGATGCGGCAGGAGAGAGTGAGAGATGATAAAGAGACATCCACTTGCGTTGCGTGTTCATGCATTTTGGGGGAGGAGCGATGAAGGGACAGGTGTGTTTGTTTGTGATGATTTCATATATCAACAGTGTTTCTCAGAAATCAATCACCGTACCTTAAAAAAGGTAATTAAAAATTTAGAAAAAAAAAAAAAAAAAACTTTTTATTTTATCTAGTTGCCAAAGCAAATTTCTCATTTTCATTTAATTTGGTTATTTGATGTTCTTAAATAACCAAAACTAAAACTGTAAATAAATAATAAAAATGACAAAAAAAAGTAACCAAATTAAGAAAAATCTGAAAAATAAAAATTATTTATAAATATGAATATATATATTGCTCTGTGTGTGTAGGCTTTTTTCGGAGTATTACGGCGATGTGATAAAGGAACGAGTCCTGCATGTGCTGGACTTTTCTTCTGATGACCTGCAGAGGGAGTTCAACTGCTCCGCCAGAAACAGCCGCGGCTTCGACACCAGCAGAGCCGTGCTCAAGAGCCAGCGTAACTACACACACTAACACACTCTGCCTCCAAAATACACATCCTCCATTGGCATATATTTTTGTAAGTTTGGTGTACAATTTTTCTTTAACAACTCTCTTCTGCTCTCCAGGGCTGCATTTATTTGATGAAAAATACTGTAAAAAGTGCAAAATATTATTACAGTTTAAATAGTAGTAAATTTTGAGTTTTATGGAGAAACATACTAACTTCAGGCCGACTTGATAAAATCTGCTAGTAGATACTGTATTAAATAAATAAACATATATATATTTTCTCTCAAAAACCTTTGGCACTTGCTGTATGTTTGTTTTGGGCCCTGTATTCCCATAATGTTTATTTTGGAAGCAAATCTTGACACATTTTAGTCTCATTATTTATTTTAGAGTCATTTATACACTTGGCAGATGCTTTTATAAATTACTTACCGTAACTGTGTGTTCCCTTGAACTTGTGACATTGGTGATCATTTAACATTTGGGCATTTAACCGGAGAAACGTGTATTTGATGTGTGTGTGTGTGTGTGTGTGTGTGTAGTGTACGTCCCCACTCTAGAGCTGGGCTGTGGTTTAGGTGTGACTCTGGCGCTCATGTTGATGATGTTCGTGGTCTATCACGTGTTCTGGCTCGAGCTTCTGCTGCTCTATCGCTCCTGGTTCGGCTCGGATGAGAGATACACAGGTGAGAACACACACACACACACACACATTTACTGACCCTGATGTTTGAGCTCAATTATGATGCTGTTTTCACTGGTTATCAGTTTAACATTTAACTCTTTCCCCGCCAGCGTTTTTTGAAAAAAGTTGCCAGCCAGCACTAGCATTTTTTAATCATTTTCACAAAAGGATATTTAGAATTTGCAATATATAACATGTATATGATAATGTATATGTAATGTGACCCCAGACCACAAAATCTGGAATCTGAGGGTGCAAAAAAATCAAAACATTGATAAAATCTCCTTTAAAGTTGTGCATTTGTGTTGGCGATTGTGCAGCATTCACTCACACAAATAAATCTTTTATATATTTACGGTAGGAAACTTACTAAATATCTTCACTGAACATGATCTTTACTTAATATCCTAATGATTTTTGGCATAGAAGAAAAATGGATAATTTTGACCCATACAATGTGTTGTTGGCTATTGCCATGAATATACCCGTGCGTCATGTGACTGGTTTAGTGATCCAGGGTCACATATATCAAAAGGAAGACCAGAACAGAACAGTTTTATAATAGCTCAAAATGAAAGTAAGTTTCATTAAAAAAAAGCAAAATTTTAAACAAAAGGCTGAGAAAATCGTGTTTTTTGTCAAAGACTATGTCCGGATGGGATTCAGAACGATGATCAAAACACTGATGGAGTCGATCGAGTCCTATAACTCAATTTATAGCCTGATTTATATGCTGTTTAATGTTTGATGATCGCGTTATTTGTTATGCATCTGCTTACACAGGCGAAGAAGAAGCGGAAACTAGCGCTAGCGTGTGTTTTGATCAGGACATTCAGTGCTCTTTCAGAAGATGTCACAGCGCCCCCTACAGTATTACAGTGGAAACAAGGAAAGACGGACATTTTCTGTCAATGGCGGGGAAAGAGTTAATCACACCATGACATAAGCAACATTCACTTGCCTTAATGTTTCCTAATGGCCATGAATATGCATAATACGTATATTTGTTTATTTATTTACATTGCATTGACAAATACAATTCATAAATTTAAGCTATTTAATATATTATTTTATATATTTATTAACACTTTACTGGCCATTAAACTTGCATTACTATTATACTTGGATTAATTTGCATTATTTTATTTGTTTATTATATATAAGCTAAAAAATAAAAATACGATTTAAGAGTTGATTTAAAAATGTCCAATGAAGAAGCCACCCGATCACCTTTCGATGTCATAATATATATATATTAAGGTATTAATGCCTTAGATATGTTTAATATATTTAAAGTCCCCCTGTAGTCAATAATTGTATCCCTTAAAACTCATCTTTGATCACCAAAATTACATATTTAAACATTTTTTCCTTGAAAAACCATTCTTCATGTCTTGAAAATGTAACTCGACACCCTCATTTAGTATGCGCGGTTCTGTGAATATGCAAACGAGCCCCGCCTCCACTCACTCACTCAGCTCAGAGATCCACTGGTTGACGATCTCACGTTAATCTGATTGGTTACAAGGTCGTTTGTGACGTCAGAAACACCAGCGATCTCAAAGCGTGTTTTTGAGACTGTCTTTGGTTCACTGCAGTTTTAAGGAGGAAATACTCAGCAATGCTATCGACTTATGAACTTACATATGGTGTGTCTTACAGCAGATTAAAAACACCAAATATACACATAAACAACATTAAAAACTGGATTTACACCACAGGGGAAAGACTTTAACTACTTTTGTTAGTAGATTGTAGTGTAACTACCTAGTTTCTCTACTAGCCATGTTTACTCTCACTCTTGAAGATCAAGTTGAGTTGTAGTTGTGTGTGAACTTGAGTGTGTGTGTGTGTGTGCAGATGATAAGCAGTATGACGTGTACATCTCGTACGCGCGCAACAGTGAGGAGGAGGAGTTTGTGTTGTCGACGCTGCGCAGGGTCCTGGAGACTGAGTTCGGCTACTCCGTCTGCATCTTCGACCGGGACAGTCTTCCTGGAGGAAGTGAGTAATGTGTGTGTGTGTGTGTGTGCGGAAAAAACACGTGTCAATCTCTGGGCAAAATATCCCTCTATTTACATACACTACCAGTCAAATGTTTGGGATGTTTTTAAAAGGAGTGTTTTGTGCGTCTCATAAACACACGGGTTTCGTTCCCAGTGAACGCAGCAACTCCATCTCTGCACGTGTCGCGAGTTTAAGGAGCGCAACATATTCCTTTATTAACATCGCATTACTGTAGTTACGTATTCATTCGTTTACCTACTTGCATAATTTCCAACATTTTTGGGGACACAGTGTTTCTGTGTCTGTGTGAGTGTAAATGCGTGTGCGTCTGTGTGTGTGGGTGGGTGTAAGTGTGTGTGTGTGTGTGTGTGTGTGTGTGTGTGTGTATCTGTATTAACCTGTATCTGTGTGTGTGTAGCTATCACAGACGATACGCTGAGGTGTGTGGGTCAGAGCCGGAGGCTGGTGGTGGTTGTGAGTCCCCGCAGTGCTGTGTGTGTGTGTGTGTGTGTGTGTGTGTGTGTATTAACCTGTATCTGTGTGTGTGTAGCTATCACAGACGATACGCTGAGGTGTGTGTGTCAGAGCCGGAGGCTGGTGGTGGTTGTGAGTCCCTGCAGTGCTGTGTGTGTGTGTGTGTGTGTGTGTGTGTTAACCTGTATCTGTGTGTGTGTAGCTATCACAGACGATACGCTGAGGTGTGTGTGTCAGAGCCGGAGGCTGGTGGTGGTTGTGAGTCCCCGCAGTGCTGTGTGTGTGTGTGTGTGTGTGTATCTGTATTAACCTGTATCTGTGTGTGTGTAGCTATCACAGACGATACGCTGAGGTGTGTGGGTCAGAGCCGGAGGCTGGTGGTGGTTGTGAGTCCCCGCAGTGCTGTGTGTGTGTGTGTGTGTGTGTGTGTATTAACCTGTATCTGTGTGTGTGTAGCTATCACAGACAATACGCTGAGGTGTGTGGGTCAGAGCCGGAGGCTGGTGGTGGTTGTGAGTCCCCGCAGTGCTGTGTGTGTGTGTGTGTGTGTGTGTGTGTATTAACCTGTATCTGTGTGTGTGTAGCTATCACAGATGATACGCTGAGGTGTGTGGGTCAGAGCCGGAGGCTGGTGGTGGTTGTGAGTCCCCGCAGTGCTGTGTGTGTGTGTGTGTGTGTGTGTGTGTGTGTTAACCTGTATCTGTGTGTGTGTAGCTATCACAGACGATACGCTGAGGTGTGTGGGTCAGAGCCGGAGGCTGGTGGTGGTTGTGAGTCCCCGCAGTGCTGTGTGTGTGTGTGTGTGTGTGTGTGTGTGTGTGTTAACCTGTATCTGTGTGTGTGTAGCTATCACAGACGATACGCTGAGGTGTGTGGGTCAGAGCCGGAGGCTGGTGGTGGTTGTGAGTCCCCGCAGTGCTGTGTGTGTGTGTGTGTGTGTATTAACCTGTATCTGTGTGTGTGTAGCTATCACAGATGATACGCTGAGGTGTGTGGGTCAGAGCCGGAGGCTGGTGGTGGTTGTGAGTCCCCGCAGTGCTGTGTGTGTGTGTGTGTGTGTGTGTGTGTGTGTTAACCTGTATCTGTGTGTGTGTAGCTATCACAGATGATACGCTGAGGTGTGTGGGTCAGAGCCGGAGGCTGGTGGTGGTTGTGAGTCCCCGCAGTGCTGTCCGCGGGACACAGGCGCTGCTCGAGCTCCAGGCCGGGTTGACCAGCATGCTTCACGGTGGGAGTCTCAGGGTGGTTCTGATCCAGTTCAAACCGGTCCAGAGGAAGAGCTGGGTCAAAGAGCTGCGCCGGGCCCGTCTCGCGCTCACACTCATACGCTGGCAGGGCGAGAAGTCCACTCCTCTCACCTCACGCTTCTGGAAACAGCTGCAGCTCGAGCTTCCCATGAGGAGGAGCCCGGAGAAACACACACCACTGCCAGACATCACACAACACACACAACACACACATCCTGCAAAGGACAAGCTGATCCACTGCTATTCTACAAGTGCGTTGTAGACATCCGTTCAGTGTGTATGTGTGTGTGTGTGTGTGTGTGTGTGTGTGTGTGTGTGAAGTCGTCCCTTCACTTCGCTCACTGTTCCTTATATTATACAGGGTTTGAAATTTACTTTTTGGCTACTAAATACATTTTTTATGAAGTTACCAGCCGTTTAGAACTTCGTTTAGAACTTCGTTTAGAACTTCAGAACTTTAGAACTTTAGAACTTTAGAACTTTAGAACTTTAGAACTTTAGAACTTTTGAACTTTAGAACTTTAGAACTTTAGAACTTTAGAACTTTAGAACTTCAGAACTTTTGAACTTCAGAACTTTTGAACTTTTGAACTTCTACTAGCCAAAAAGAAAATAAAAGAACCAGATTAACTACGTCACAGCTTTTATATATATATATATATATATAGATGTATTTAATATATCATGATTGATGACTCACAAGTATTTGCAGATTTGGCTTACACACAAACTGTACCAGCAAAGTGAGTAAATATAATAAGTAACGCGGCGAATTGGCCTGTGATTTGACAGCGTTACACAACACAGCCGTGTGTTCACTTCAAACCCTGTATATATAGTCAAAGTTGATTTATATGGCGCTTTTCACAGTACGCATCATTTTAAAGAAAGTTGAATAGTGGATGTCATATAGTCAAGTCAAGTCGCCTTTATATATATATATATATATATAGCACTTTACACAATACAGATTATTCTAAACACGAGATAACAGTGTCATTGATCAGCTGACGTCGGGTCAGTGTTGATTCAGTTCCGTTCAGTAACTGTGCATCAGTTATGACATCAGCAGTGATGTCATCATCAGCTCAGGGCAGCTCTCAGCCAATAGTGTCAGTTCGTTCAGATCAATATTATTGTTGCATATTAGGTGTCTACGACGGTGAATGAAATTAAGTGAGTGAATTCTGACGCTGATGTGTATATTGTGGGTCTTATTTAATTTTATGAGACTTTAACTGTGCCTTGTTGGTATTTAATAATTTTGTTAATTTTGTATTATTTTTGTATTATTATAATATGGATTAATATTCTGAACCAGTTTTCATTTATATATATATATATATATATATATATATTCTTTTATTTTTAGTTAAGTTTTTACTGGGGATTTCTATCATTCATTTTTAAGTTTTAGTCATTTTGTTGTGTGGTTTTGTCATTTTTACTGGTTTGTATTTGTATTTTTACTGGGTTATATATATATATAAATATAATTCGGTAATAATAATTTGTTTAATTAGAATAATTTATATAGCGCCTTTCTAGGTACTCAGGGTTTACATGTGGAAGGGGGAATCTCCTCAAATATATATATAATTTCTATTTAGCTTCTATTTTAGTACTTCAACTTATTTTATTTCCGTTAGTTGCCAAAGCAACCTTTCTAAATTTCGATAAATACATTTTTTTTTTCATGTTTAGCTTTTACATATAATATATTTATATTCATATTTTATTTTTGTCACGCTTTATTTCAGTTAACGAGAACAACTTTTAAACAGTTTTAGTTAACAACACTTAGGATTCCCAAACTTTGTCAGCCAAACTTCCCTTTAAGATTTTAAGTTAATATTTCAATAATTTAACAACACATTAATGGTCACATGACCTTTCAATTTAAAAGTTATTTGTTTATTTTGTACATTTTACGAATGAACCCGCTCTTGGAAACCCTGCTCTAGTGGTTTGGGATTGTACACTTCTTATTGCAGTGCATTCTGGGATTGCATGAGTGCACTAGATCATCAGAGACCTGCAATAGTGTGTGTGTTACTGAGCTAATCTTACTGGATTCAACATGGTTCAGATCAGTTTGTGAGACTTCATAAGTTTCATTCATTCTTTCATATTCCCTAACAAACTTCCCAGTTTTTTTCACTGAATTGCATTTGAGTTCTTGTTTATTTTGGTTGTTAATATCATGCAGCATCTTATATGACCATGTCATGTCCTGTATGTTCTGTGATCACATTTTTAAGCTGTTTTGATAATTAAAATGTATGTTTTGCATTCACATCTGTTTCATTGAGTCATTTCATCACATTAGTTTCCCATTACAGCAGCTGACGTATGTGTGTGTGTGTGTTAATGTTTACACTCATGATCATGAATGATGAAATGTTTGCGTAAGCATTTCCAGTCAGTCATCAGTGAATGGAGGAAGTTCTCAACCAATCACATGCCGTCTTGCTCCATTGAATCGTTGTGTGTGTGTGTGTGTTTCTCACCTCGGGGTCTGGAGATAACAGTAAACTCTCAGAACAGCTCAGTTTTGATTTTCTGGAAGGAAATATATATCGTAAGAGTGAAAGCACACATTTTAGAAAGTTTTTTGATTAAAAGCTTTGAACCATAACAATCAGCTTTGGGATGAATTGCATCATTAGATTCAAAGCAACAAATAGTCTTTATGAATTAATCATTCCATAAAGTAAATGATATAATCAGTCACTTTTTGTCTTTTTAATGTATTGCCATAAATGCATTTTATGCTCTAATGCTAAAATAACCCATTGCTAGAAAATTCACCACAAAGCTTGATGTCATGATTTTAATGGTAGGTTGTCAAGTCACCTTTATTTCTACAGCGCTTTATACAATACTGTTTGTTGTAAAGATGCATTTCATTTGTTCAGTCAGTTCAGTGTTGATTCAGTTCAGTTGTAACGATCATAAATTATTAATATAGTTGTTTCTAACATTTACAAATCCATTTCACTCTGGAGATAAGGCATTTTTACTTGTGTGACCTTCCTGTTTAACTCTATTGAGTCACTTCTCTTGAATGTGATTCATTAAGGATTCAGAGCACTGTTCTGGTGTCAGCGAACTGGTTCGAAGGTCAAGTGTAAACCGTTCGAGTCACAGAGAGTCAGAAACTTCATGTAACTGAACTCCAGATGTGCTTCACATGATCTGTGACTGCATCTGGATATCAGCATACTGAAGATATCATAAGGCTTGCATTGCTTTTATAATTGATTTAAAAAAAAA